AGGAAGGAGTGAAAAATCTCTTTCACAGTTGGCTCTTCAAGTAGCTACTCCTCCTGGTTTTTTCCTCACAACCCTTCTGCCAGAGGCTTTTGCCCTGACAGCCAAATCAGCACAACACAACACACGCATAAGCCTCAATTACTTTAATGCAAAGTGCAGCATCTTGGTTTAAGTCACTGATGATAGTGCATTTAAGTAAAAATGCCTGGTTTGGCACTAATGTATCTGAGACATTTCCTTCTATGAACTCCACTCTAAAGGCATTCTGCGTATGGGTGGGGTGAACTGCTGTGGCTTGAAACATCTGACTACCAGAACAATGGTCAGTATAATTCATCTGTGTCCTACTGGCTTTGATTTTCAGAAGGCTTCAGTACTTGAAAAGATGGATCCATTTTCCCTTTCTGCCACACACATACAAATAAAAATTATCATCATCTAACCTATAGCAGGCAATAAGCAATACCTCAAGTCTTTAAGCACTGAGAATTTATCAGCTTAAATCTGAAGAGATTTTTGTTTATAATCTTGCTTCAGAACATTACTAACTTTATTTTAATATATTCCGCTCTGAGAGAAAAAAACCCCTCTTTCTCATTCCTTCTTCAGAAATAGATCACAAGAGCCTGAAGTCAGAAAGTAAAATGCACCTTATAAAAAAGAAATATACCAATGAAAAAAAAACTCAAACCCTTTATGTTCAAAATTTCTTTCAGTATGTCCCTTTCTTTGAAACTGACAGAATTCCTTCAGTTTTGGTTGCAAAATGGATTAGGTCAAAAACACATCACTGCTGTGTCTTGATCCCAGTCACTGCTGGAAAAGCAGGGCACACAATGCAGCTGGCATAAGAAGTGACAGTCCTGTCTGCATATTCAGAACTTGTACATTTCGACAGCTATCTGCCCAGTAACGGTTTTGGAAACTTTCATCTTGTGCTACCACACTGAAGGCATAAGAGGCAGAAATTTGTCCTTTAATGAAAAGAAGCCATAGCAAATGATCAAGAATTTTACACACTACTCACTGCAAAATTGACTATTATCTTCTACATCAAAAAGCTATGAAAACCAAAGAGTCACAGGTTTTAACTGTATCATCTCCACTTTTTCATAAAGAAATTTTATTTCACAGCATTTTGAGTGATCATTTTGTAATTATCTCCCAATATCCAACCGCATTCAGACTTAGGTAAGTCTCCTCTCCCATCTTTAATCTAATGCCTAAAAACTACCAGAAAGTGAACGAAAGCAATCACTGGGACATACACTAAGCACAAAGGCAGCAGAGATGGATTAATTTATGTATTTTAAAACCTGCAGCCATTCTGGGCTTTTATTTCTCTTGCTGTATCTCAGATGTGTGGAAAATGGAAACAAGCTCAATTCCTGCAATGTAGGTATGTGGCAAAAGAAACAGATACTTTGATAGCATTCAGTAACATATAATTTCATTTCCATGCTTGTCAGATTACCCTAAATGGGACCGATTTCTTCACTTTACCTCATGTGTTTGCTTTTGTTACTCCAGGACAGAAGGTGATACAGACTAGAAAAGGCAGACATCAAGTACAATCATCACAGTTTTAAGGCATGAAGCAAGCACAGGAGAGCAGTTTAAAAGGTGAATATACAACTTCCAAAGCACTCACTGAAAATTTAGCTGCACTGCAACAATTTAATGTCATTCATGTTAAATGTATTAATAATAATATTATTGCATCAGAAGGTTCAACTGAATGAGTACGATTACAAAGCTTCCATTTCCACTTCACAGAGAAGGGGATGGAAATTAATGATGTTTGGATGTACCCACATGAAACTCAATCCCAGCACTGCAAGGGGGCATTTGCGCCTGCAACTGCAGCATGGCGTGGTTTTGTCCATCATTCAAAGTACTAGGTATTAGGCTGCTGTACACCTAGTCACTAGGCTAAGTTTTCCTATTTTATACATACCCACGACTTGTATGTAAAGAGAGGGGCTTTGCATTGATATGTTGCTTATTTTTTTGTTTAGGATGTTTCTGTTCTGATTTCCCTTGTTTTGCTGCATCTTCTGCTGGCTTTTGAAACGGTTCTTCCCTCTTACTCTAAGGCAAAGATAATTTTAAAAATACCGTATTAGCTACCAATCTGAAACCCCTTGTACTCCTTTTGACATCAAGCTTCCACAAAAAGTTAATTTTACTTTAGTTAGCCGCTTTGCATATTTAATACAAACAAGAATATTACATTGCTTTGTTAATACAAACTACCAAAATGCCAAAGCTAAGATTCTGAGTGCAGCATTCAGTTAGTTAGATTCTGTACACTTTACAAAATGAATTTAACACAAAACACAGAAATAAAATAACACAATACCTGTGCATTCTAACCTGAGTTGTGCAAGACTTAATGTGTGTATTTCTGAAATTTGTAATAAATAAAAAACAAAACAGAAAAAACCCACACCAAACCTCTTAGCTTAATAATCAAGCAATATAAAGGAATTTATTATAAACCAAATTTTTAATTTACTGTCATTCTTGTTTATAAAAGGTCAGACTGACCTATTCAATTTTCACAAAGATTTTTTTTTCTCACTTATTTTATCCTCTCAGAAATCTCATGCATGATTTCTGATTCTGCAAGAGATCCTCACAGATATTGTTCAGATTTAAGAAAAAAAATATTAAGATAAATAAAGAGAAAACCCCACCAAAATTATCAAAAACTTTTCCAAGATCAGAATAGCGGTATCAGTATAAACAGAAAGTGTTTTAGACACTTCCACCAAAATTCCCTTCTCATATGTCTTCTCTTCCTTCCCTTTATTAGCTCTCTTGGGAAAATATAACCTGAATTTCCAGTATTAAAAACAAAGAAATGCTTCTTGAAAGCCTCATGTCTTCTGCTAGAAGAGGTAAAAGGGGACATAAAATTCTTCATTCCCAGATGAGATTTAAAGCACTGGGTGGGTCTGAGTTTTAAATGACGAAGCCTCACCTTTATCTTTGAATCTGGTAAAACAGCCAGACCCATCATTCTTAAAATTGCATTTAAATTTGTCCAAGCCAACAGCAAGACAAGGAAATGCAAGGCCTCACATAACCAAATTACTTTCATAAAATACATTTTAATATTTTGATCTAAGTAACAGAGCCTACATAGGCTACACAATGTCCTGTCACAGCGCTATGCTAAATACAATTAATTACCTTTCTACCTTTCAACTTATCAAGGCAAAGGGAAATGAACTGTAACCCTTCCTCCATGTTTCTTCAAATTACAACTATTGGCTGAAAATCAGTTCCAACTGTGGTATCTTCCATACATCAAAATATTTGGGTTTTATTCACAGTGTCTGATTTATGAGAAACAAAAAATTCCAGACTCCCTCATCCAGCCCTCCTGCATACCAAGAGACTACACTGGTACCAATGAGAGTATAAATCAGAGATTTACACTTCAGAAATACTTCTTAAAAGAACCATTCTTTGTTCCAAAAGAAAGTTTCAATTTAAAAAAAAAAAAAAAACGGGCAGGGGAGAAAAGAAGAAAACCCACTTGAAAACTCATAAATTAGGTAAAAAGGAAAAACACACTGAAAATGTCACTGTAAACTCAACAAATGCACTACAGAAACCCCTAAGAGCAAACACAGCTGCAGAGTGTCATTATTTTTAGTCTCTTATAGCAGAACCACTACTGAGTCCAGCCATAAAATGTAACTAAAAAAAATTTCAAAATAAGCTCACCACTGCATTCTAGAAAAGAACAATCAAAATTACAGAAGTATATTAATGGCTTTCTTTTAGGGAAATATTTACTTGTTCACAAACCGGAAATTCTTTCTCTTCTGAACCACCTCTCTCTTGTGGACCCTTAACAGGAGGAGACCCTTTGAGGTTTCTCTCACATGCAGTTTCAGAAGTAATTGCAGGAGTTTTACCTGTGTTGGCAATAACCTTAGGGGGGAAGAAAACAAACAAAGGTATGATTTCCTTACCTTAAGGCTAAATTTTCAAAATCAGTTACCCAATTCATGCAAATACGCTCATATGAGCAGGGAGACAGTTGTGTACAAGTATAGCATGTGCAGACTAACTTCTAGGACAAACTGAAAAGAAACTACATCTGATAAAAATGCATTAAAAACTGACTGAGTCACACACAGTTAAACCTGTGGTTAAGCATTGTTCTCGCTGAAGTTCGACAATACATATTTTGTTCATTTGGGAAGAGAGTTCATCTTCAGTTTTATGTAGGATCATATTTTCTCAACCATATGCCATAAAACTTTCCTGTGAGTCCTCAGCACATGTGCAGTCCATAAGTAACAAACAACTGTTCTGTGGTTTAGAATTGGATGTTCAGGGCTTGGGTAATTTGATCTACCCACTATTTTCCAATCAAAACTGTACTATAAACCAAGGCAGAGAGTTCCCTTAATACATGGTCAGGTATCATCTTATCATGGGGTGCTGAACTGAAAGACCATGCCCCATGTCACAAGCATACACTTTCCCCAGCTTTGCTATGAGACTTTAGGTCTGACTTACAACCTAACTTGGGTAACTTTGGTATTTTCACAGAAACTCTTCAAGGGAAAGGTATTGCCATTATTCAGTATTCAGATATATTCTCCATCATACCAACAGAAATCTAACAAATGTCAGTCTGTTAATACGTATAATTTTTATCATGAAATTCTAATATTAAATTTAAAACCTCCAAACATTTATACAGTCGGATACATTCTCTAAGTTTTATTTATCCTACAATTTACAGTGCCTACAGATTTATTCTTACAGCTTCTTATTCTGTATAGGCTATGAAAAAAGTTTGCTCTTTTAGATTTCAGTCTTTTTTCTGAAACAGCATAATGTTCACCAGCATGAATAATGGAATTATCAAACTGTATAAGAGAGTAAGACAGCACATCATTTGTAGTAATTCCACCAAAGTATATGCTCCTAGTGAAGAAATAGAAGACAAAATAAAAGCAGAAGTGCCTATTTTATACTGTAAAACTAACAAAAGAGAGGCTGACTCCTATGTCCTGATCCCAGTAATAATGAATTGAAAACACAGAGCAGTCTCACAACCAGAGTTACTCTTTATGGTCTGATTAAAAATAGCAGCATTTCCAGTCCTACAAAATCTAAAAACTTGAGCTATATTAAAATGCTGCAGGAGTATCATAAAATCACAAGACTCCTCTTTTAAACCTAAGTGCTCCTCATGAAACAAAAAAACCCACTAGAGAGATGCACTTTAGGGCTTAGAAGTATACAGGCACAGAGATGGACACAGCAAATAAGAAACTGTGGTAACCCACAAAAGACCTTGAGAATAAATAGTGAAACCAGCATTAGTTCAGTAGCAAAACATGTTGTTGCAACGCAGAACACCTGAACATTCCTCTGTTGTTAGCTGTATACTACATAAGAACAGTAAAAGTGAAGGGTAACATTGAGAAGGATCTTAGAGCTCCTAAGGTAAATTAATGCAAAAAGAAGAAAATGGTCCTGTTATAAAGGATGGAATACAACCAGGCATATGGAGAATGAGTAACTAGACCTGACTACAATAAAGAATAACATGAAAACAGATCTACTTATACTGTACTTTTGTATGTTAAGGAAAAAAAAACCCCACATCTAACAACATTCACGTTTGCCATTCCCCTGCCAGAAGCAGAAGAAAGGAAATCTTGGAAGGTAAGCAACTTTGCTAATACATAGATGAAAGTATTCCTTTACTTTTTGGATTTTTTAAAGTTACCTCTTCAGCTGCAAGTATCGGTGACTTTTCATGAGGACTCTTCCAAACAAATTGGCTTTGATATTCAGAATTTCTGGGGAAAGTATATAAACGTGGAATATTCATGCCTGCTTTCCTCTGAAGGACTCTGTGAAGCTGACAACAAAGAAAAAAAAACTCTTTCCTACAATGTCTGGCAAGTCAGGCATCTTTCAATGTACCCTTTCAAACCGACAGTTTGGTTGTATGAATTAAATGAATGCAAAGTACATTTTCTCATTATAGCAAACAACCCCAACAATTGGCTAAAACCTTGTTTAAGTGAAACCAACAGTGATGGCACTTGAAGGGCAAATTCCTATTGGCCTAAGCGGAACCAAAATCTAGTCTCAAAAGTACTGTTCCCCCAACAACAAAACAAAGCTACAACATAGAGTATCAAAATAAAGAACTAAGGAGAGAGTTTGACAATAGAGGCTGATGTATGTGCATTAAATTACTTCAAGTATCAGATTAACAATATCTAAACTGGCCGATTAAAAAAAATTTTTTACATCTTCCCTTACCCCATTACCCATTTTTTCTAATTCCTTTTTTGCAGATGAAAATGCTTCATTTTGATTTGGTGGAGCTGCAGAGGGCAATTTCTTCATGTTGTTTTCTGCAAGGGCAAGAGCTGTTTCACCTCCAGAATCTACTGAATGTGACTGAACTTCTGGGGGGAGTCTGGGTCCTTCTGGCATTTCAGTATTTTCTCCATTCACATCATTGTTGCTGTGGTTTGCATGCAACTCTGCAGTCCTAAGAGCTTCAGTTTCAAGTGGGTCATTCAAATCACAATCTGCTGTCCATTCAAAGTACTTTGAAATCTGTGGATTATGGTAAGGCACCCTCCTCTTGGAAATGAAGTTTGGTTCTCTTGTGATTCCTGAAAAAGACATACTAGGTTTAACAAAAACATTCTATTGAAGACTTAGTTTATTCTTGTAATACAATGATACAATAAGTTTATCATACAACTTAGTAGAAAAAAACTATTTTAATATCTTTGAGCAATCACAGCCTATGAATCATGGGCACAGCTGTGAAATTCTGTCTTTTTTCCTATTTGTGAACATTCTTTCTTTCCATTAAAGAGAGGCATGAACATGGTTCTCCAGGACCATGTTAGATAAAACCCTATAAAGCAAATATGGCCAAAGGACAACCTTTTGCAAATTGATTCTAGGAGTTGAACAACAATAAAATTAACACAGCCAGTAAAATAATGTGGTTAACACAAATACAGAATAACCAATCTGCAATGCTAGAGTATGCCACAAACATTTCTCATTACACATGCACAATACACCTGAACAGGTTCTCGCCAGTCATGACAGGACAGTGACAGATCCTCATCCATCTAACACAACTCTGATTTAAAAACATCTCAGATAGCTGGTGACTTTTTACAGTATGAACACAAAACCAATTCCAAAATTGTAAAAAGACTGTGATGAAACCAGCTATCAAGTTATTTTAAAGAATTGCTGGCCTTGGCAAACTCAGACGAAAATAAAATTACCGCACCCTTTTAAGAAGACGACTGAACGCATTTAAAGTGGGAAATCATAATCCAACTGCAAAGTGCTCAGCTGTGACAGAGAAGTAAGTGAAGGCTCCTAACTGACTAAAGAAACACTTTCTAGGAGAGAAAGAAACTCCTATCTCATGAAAATCTACATAGGAAAAGAGAGAACAAACAATGGTGAAAGGTATGCAGAACGTTTGGATGTCCAACTACACATACAGGTAGTAGGAAATAATTCCAGTGGAAAAACTCTGGAGAAGTATCAGGGAGGAAATCAGAGTGCCTGCAGCTGTTAATTTCTTGGGGTGACGGTCCAAGTCATTCTTAAAATTGCCAGCTACGTGTTTCTTCACTGTAATTGAACTATCAACGACAATCTGCAACTCCTATGAGGTGTCAAGGGTGACATTTGAAGATGTACACGGTTAAATGGCTGGAAAAAAGGTGGGAGTGAAAATGAACACAAAGATGTAGGAAAACTACACCAAGCACAAAAACACTGCTACAACATGAGGAGGGGAAACTGCTGCATTGCTAACTCATGAATTCATTGCAAGTCTTGCGAAATTTGCAGTTTAGTTTGACGGAAAAAGAAGCATCGATTACAATCTGAAAAAGAAGTTAGCATGTTTAAATGTTCAGAAGTTGTGGAATTTATACAGGTACCCACAGACAGACCCATGCACTAGGGAAAGCAAAATCAAAAAAATACGTATTTTGCAGTAATGGAAAAAAGCAGTAATGTATATAAAGCATAACATTTAGGAAGATTAAATTATTTATTAAAATGTCTAGCATCTCAACTGAAAACAACCCCTGCTCCCAGTGGTTGGTTCTTAATTACCAGGCTGTAATTTGGAATGTGTATGTTGTAGGAATGAATATATTGGACTCTCAATTACACAGACTGTGTAATGCAGTCGCACTAGATTGCAAATGTGACACTGCAGTAATTCCTATTTTTTACTGCTCCTTTTCAAAGCACTGCTGTTGTCATCACCCTCCAGCCTACTCCTACTCCTCAACTCGCTACAGGCCCTTGAATCCAGATGCTATTTCCTTTGTCTTCTACTTCCCAACCCCACATTTTCTTGCCACAATAATGTCTACAACCCCTAACTCCTATAATACAGCACCACAAGCTTTTCCATTCAATGCTAATCCTTTTTTTTTTTCTTTTTCAGTTAGCTGTCCCTGTTAGTTTTCGTAACAACTTTACTTTGTATCAAATTTTACCCCAAGTTAGTCTCCTTTTAAATACAGAATTTCACCTACTGTTTCCATGCTCCACAGGTAACCTAATGTCTCCTTCTACACACCCTGTATGGGTTTACCTGCATCTGTGCTTCATGTTTGGGACTTGGCTTATGCTGCATGTCAGAAACCATGTACTTTTCAGGTTTTAAATAAACAGCACTAACATTAAAAGAAAGTTTTAGTGCATCCAAAAAGAATATGGCATCCAAAAACATACTCTAAACGATGACCAGGAATATATGTTAACTGTATTAAGTGCACAAACTGCAAACACAGCTCACTGTGGCCATGCACTCAATCACAGCAAACCTTTCTAGGCTTACTACAGCCCTGGCTCATCCTTATCAGAGTCAGCTCGGATTTGCAATCAGTGGGGCAGCTTTCCAGTGAACTTGCTTACCGAACTGATCTGACCGAAGTCCTGCCCACAAGGATTTCTGCTGCTCGGACGGGCTACAAAACTCTGGGGTTTTCCATCTGAAGTTTCTCTTATATTCACTCAGCCCCTGCAGCAAACAGAGAGGTGTCTGTCAAGTGACCGGTGCACATCCCGCTTCCCGGCGTCTGTTGGCAACAGATCTCCAAGGGGAAAAACACCAACAAGGCCGCAGCAGAATTCAGCTATGCCAGCAGGTTGCTATGCATCTGCAACCTCCCCTCCCTTCCCTCCGAAGAGCAAAAACTACTTGATTGCTCTGCAGAAAAAGCGCGGAATAATTTCATGCACAAAAAGTATGCAAAAAACTTGTTTACATCTTTAAGCGAATAAAGTTTCAGGAACAAATAAAGCCAGAACCTGCTGTCACTCACACGACTGAACTGTTTCTGTCTTTATTAGCTCCTTAGCGCAAAGGTCTCCCCTTTCCTGCC